TTTTCTCTTGAACATACACCTCTTGATTTTGGTCAAGTTGGCCTAACGATTTAGTAGATACATTATAGTATTCCTTTTGTTTTTCTTGAATATTTTTTAATGTTTCTCTTATGCCGTTTATTGGGAATTTTGGTTTTAGAATTTGCTGGCTGACGGGCAAAGTAGTTCTTAATTTTCTACCCATAAGAAGCTCACATGGAGAAGGTAAATTTTGTTTGGGAGTTACATTGTAATTAAGAATGGCTGCGAATGGATCTTCTTTTTCATAAAGACACTTAGTTAGCAAGCTCTTGACAGTCTGAATTGTTCGTTCAACCATGCCGTTCGATCTAGGGTATTTTGGGCTAGAGGTGGTCAGTTGTATATCGTATTTTTGTGCAAATTCTTTAAACTCAAATGAATTAAAGGGTGGGCCTTTGTCCGAAAATATCTCTTGAGGCAAGCCATTTATTGCAAATATATTTTTAAGTGTTGACACAACAGTAATGCAAGTTTTATTTAAAAGTTTGTTAACTACAGCAAACTTACTAAAGTAGTCTACAACTACCAAAAAATCTTGCGTGCCAAGTGATTTAAAATCTATTCCGACTTTTTGCCATGGTAGATCAGGGATTTCATGAGAAGAAAGTGGCTCTCTAGCATTGGATTTTGAATAGGATTGACATAAATCACAGTTAAGGACCATTTTTTCAACATCCGATGACCATCCAGGGTAGTAGATTGCTTCTTGAGCAAGATTTTTGCATGCCACGACTCCTTGATGATATTTATGAATTTGACCAAGAAATTCTTGCCTGAGACTATCAGGTAATATCAAACGTTTGTTATAAAAAAGAACATTCTGATGTAAAAATATTTCATTTTTTATAGGCCAAAACTTTCTCACATTTTGGGACGTCAGGTTTTTGTGTTGTGGCCATCCATTCAATACATAGTTTTTAATTTCATTTAGTACAGGGTCAGACTCGGTAGCTTGTATAATTCTGTGTTCAGTTTCAGGTCTTACAGCTATGACTGAAAAAACTTTTAAATTTGAATCTAAATACTCAGTATTTATCGATTCCTTAGAAGGTTCTCGACTTAATGTATCAGGAATTTGAAGGTATTTTCCTGGAACGAATGTTAAGGTAAAGCGATATTTAAGTAGCCTTATAGCAAGTCTTTGAATGCGTGGTGACATTTCGTCTAATGGTTTTTTCAAGAGTCCAAGAAGAGGACGATGATCAGTCTCGATTTTAAAATTTTCCTGCCCGCACAAATAGTAGTTGAAACGTTCACAACCGTAAACAAGCCCCAATAGCTCTTTCTCGATGTGATTGTATCTTTGTTGAGTTGACGATAGAGACACGCTAGCAAACTCAATTGGGCGATTATTTTGGCTAATATAGATAGGCTCCTAATCCATAGGAGCTTGCGTCTACGGACAGTGTTATTTCTTCTTTAGGACTGAAAAATGACAAGGTAGTAGCCGATGCAACTAGATCTTTCAGATTATTAAAGGACTTTTCTTCAATTACAGTCCACTGCCATTCCGATTTATTGCTCAGAAGTGTACGGAGTGTATTTGTTTCATTCAATAGATTCGGCAAGAATTTTGAGAGATAAACAGTCATACCCAAGAATCTTTGTAAATCCTTTTTATTTTTGGGTGATTCCATTTCTCGTATAGCTCGGGTTTTACGTTCATCTGGTGAGACACCACTCGCACTGATAATATGGCCAAGGAATCTGATTTCGGTAACACAAAACTTCGATTTTTCTCGATTTAGGGTCAATCCACTGTTTTTAATTTTTTCAAGAACAGTATGTAAATTTTGGTCATGTTACTCAATGGTTTTTCCATAAACGAGTATATCATCGAAATACGATAATACTCCTTGAACGCCCTCTAAAAGTTCAAAAATGCATCTTTGAAAAATTTCAGGAGCGCACGATATTCCATATGGAAGACGAAGGTATCGATATCTGCTAAAACTTGTAGCTATAGTGCATAGAAGAGAACTTTCATAAGTCAAGGGGAGCTGCAAAAAGGCGGACGATGCATCTAGCAAGCTAAAATATTTTGCTCCTGCAAGTTGTGCAAATAATACATCTTGAGTTGGTATTTCAAAAATTTCTCGTTTTATGTATTTATTGAGAATACGAGGATCCATACAAATACGAATGTCTTTTTTATCTGGTTTTTGTACGACAACAATGGGATGGACCCAATCGGTGGGCTCAGTAACCGGTACAATTAACTTTTCTTTTACCATTTCATCAAGTTTCGATTTTACTTTGTCCTTGAGAGCAATTGGTATTTTTCGTGGCCCGCTCACATGTGGCACAGCATCATCACTGAAAGTAAGTGAGAACTGTTTATTTATCTTACCAATACCAGAAAAAACAGGCTCATAATATTTTAAAACTACTTTTGGAAGATTATTATCCTTGTCAGAATATTTGTTATCACCTATATTTTTTACAGAATCAATACTCTCATTTTTTGAAACTTTCGGTATGACTCCTATAGCACGTATTGCATTTAGCCCTAAAATAGAGCAAGGTTTTTCTGAATCCAAAACATAGAACAAAAAAGTGAGAGTTTTTGTTTTAAAATGACACTTCAGATGGATTTGACCTATCACATTGATTGTATGCCCTGAGTAAGACATTAATACCGAAGAAACAGATGAAAGATTTTTATGTGGTATTTTTAATAGATTAAAGTCCGAGATGTTTAGCGTATTGACTTGGCTTCCTGTGTTTACTTTAAATTTAATGTCCACGTCAGAAATGTTCAAAACTTCTAGCCAGTCAATTGCATTAATTTGTGATTGTCCACACAATTAAATTAGAATCAGATTTTACAGTGCTACATGCACCATCAGAATCACTGTCGTCATTAAAATTGAGTTCATCAAAATATTCAGTAATTTCATGAATTTTCTGTCTTTTTCTACAAAAATTTCTAAAATGTCCAGTCTGCTTGCAGAACTGCAGACTCGATAAAAAGCAGGGCACTTACCTGGCTCATGTTGCTGACCGCAGTTTGTACAACCAAAATTACGTCTTTGTCGATTACGGTTATCATTTGTGTTATCATACCCAGATGCTTGACTACTATATTGTTTCAATCTACGGTTAGGACCATAGTTAGGTACTCGATTATATCTTGAACTTGAACCACTACCATTATTTTGATTGAAACGTCTATTAATCACATTCACAGAAACTGAATCTTTACTAATTTCTTTTTGAGTTAACACACTTGTTTCCATGGACCTACAAATGCTTATAGCTTCATTAAGTTCAAGATTTGGATATTGTAAAAGTTTTTCTTGTATACGTGAGTCCTGTACACCAAGAACAATTCGATCACGGATTAAAACGTCCTTTTCACAAAACTCGCAAGTTCCAGCTAACTGCCTAAGTGCAGTAATAAACTGGTCAATCGTTTCACCAAGGAGTTGCTCCCTTTTAAAAAATTTAAAATGTTCATAGACCAGATTGATAGTTGGACTACAATGTTTATCAAATTTCTCAATTATAGTAGCAAGGCTTTTGCTTATCTTCGCTCTGGCTCTGATCATACTCGAAAGTATTGTATATTTTGAGTCCTTCATCCCCCTCCAGCACAATTAGGTGAAATATTTTCTTCTATATTATCTTGTTTTTTATTTATTTTTGTATCCATATCTTGAGTCTCGTAAGCGTTAGATGATCCTGCATGTAAACGATCTTGAGTACAAATATAAAAATCCTTCGCATATTCTACATATTTACTTATTGTCTTGTGGAAATCTTTTTGGCAATGAGTTTGAAAAATCTTCATCAGTATCCTTGTCAGTATTTGAATTTGACAAATTTTCTGACAATGACATTTTTTGTTCTTTCTTCTTTGTAGCTTTTTTCCGAATGGACGCTTTCATTCATTTTTTTGTATAACTCTCGTACTTACTTGTAAAGGTAGATTTATTTGTTCTGATTGGTTTATTCCCTTTTTTTTGAGTTTTTTTTTTGAATTTTTAGGTCTCTAATTTTCGATATTTTTAGGAAAGTTTTACAGATCGACTTGACACTTTGACAAATTTTTGACCTAATATGCATAAATCAAATCGTTTATTGGTGCTTAAATACACAGTACAGTGTTTAAGCGGATATAAGCGATATTTAGGGGCCCAGGCACGAATATTTGTTTTTATGAAAATGCTTTAAAATAAAATTGAGAAATATAATGACCAATATTGAACGATATATGTAACTGGTACATTTCTTCCAGTTGCCACCGCCAAAAGGTCATTTAGTAAATTGAAAATATTGAAATTGAAAAAGTATTTGAGACATTCCATAAGTCAAGAGACTGCATGATCTTTCTATATTGTCTATCAAATATAGCACAGTATCTAATATGTATATTCGGTATTTAGTTGCCCCAAAAAAATTATCCAATGGATAAGTGAGCCATAGATAATCAAAATTTGAACTATTATCGGCTCTTGATGCTTTGGAGAAACCTTCCTAGAACCAATCAAAAGCTGGTAATAGTCAAAATTTGAACTTTAATCAATACAACTCTGGATTCGCTAGAGATTTTTTAAAGAGCATCCAAAGCTCAAGAGCCGATAATAATCAAAATGTCGAATAATTATTAGCAGCTCTCAAGTTGGTATTAATCAAAATTTCTTCTTCCACAAATTCTAAACGGCCCAAGAAAAAATTTCCAATGGATCAAGAGCCACAGATAATCAAAACTTGAACTATTACTGGCTATTGATTCTTTGGAAAACCTTCCAAGGAGCGGTAATAGTCAAAATTTGAACTTTTATCAACTCTGGATTTCCTAAAGAATTGTTCTAAGGGCAATCAAGACTCAAGAGCTGATAATAATCAAAATTTCGATTACTCATTAGCAGCTGCAACAATTTGCCATTAATAAAACCCAGGGAGGGGCCCACTGCATCCAAGCGCCGCCACTACTTGCAATACAATATTAAAGCAAAAATACTTAAATCACTCACCTTTCTCATAAGTCTCACTCTCATCAAATCTCCTCGGCGGTACCAAATTTTCCTCACCAGTCTTGGAAATATCCTCAATCAACAACCAATATTTACTTGTAGTCCTTCGATTGTCCACCAGCCCTTCGCCCATTCCTCTAGAATCATCATACAGCGTCCTCCTGTCCAGCATAACTTCCAAAAAGCCCGGTTGCCAAGCTGAAGCTCCTTGCGCATGATTGGTTAACAAACTGAGCCTCACATTTTCGTCTTGAATATACGCCATTGTCGTTATAGGAAAATAATTGCCTTCGATGCCGATTCTTTCGATTTTGATGCGTTTTTGCATGTTGAAGCCGTTAACGTCCGAGTAAAACTCTGGCGGTTCTCCGTTTTGAACATCGGAAATTATCCGCATGAAAAGCTCAGTTTCTCGGTTTTTAGGAGGGCTTTCAAAGTCGACAACATTTTCTATACTTATTGCGTTTGCAAGAGCACTATTTTCATCTAAATAGATTGTTACCTTGTGGGCTAAAAACTGCCCATAAATGGTCAACAGTTCCGTGGTTACAGGGCCTGTGGTAATAATCACTGACATTTGCTCTTTGTACTGAGCTAAAACATCTTTTTCGTAATCCCTCTCATTCGGATCGGGCATGAACAAATAAGCTCCAGAATGAAATTGAGCACTTCTATAAGCCGCAAATTGTATTTTACATTGCATTATTTTTGGCTTGTGTTTTCTTGTGACCGACTTCATAAATCCTGTTGTGCCACTGAACAAAATTTTCATTTTATGATTCTCCAATTGAATATCGCTTGGTGGAATATCCTTAATTATAAATGGAGCTTCCAGTTTGCTTCCATCAGATAAAATTGCACTTTTTTTCATGCAATTTTTACAATACAAGGTTGCCAAACTTGATTTGGAATTTTGTGAGTGAACTAGATAAAAGCTACTGGCACTTAAGGCATCCAATTTAGTAATAAACACTAGCTCGAATTCCCCTGGCTGAATCCAATATTTGCCCAAACTGAATTCCAAAATTGGATTAACTTGAAACTCAATTTCATTACCTTTAGCATCAGTGACCATTAAATTAGTTGTATTTACTGTTAACGTTACAACATGCTCTTGTGGGTAAGCTAAAGAATTAAACAATACGATTTTTCGCTTTTGATTAGGGCCTATTTGAATGTTGCTTTTATTAGGCAGTTTTTCATAAGATTCACGCTCAATGTCACTTAAAACTAAATTCTGGCCTTTACTTATGTGAACTTTAGGGAATAATAAGGCTTGCAAGGAAAGTTGTTGTACATTTACAGTATCCCTGAGTGACTCAAAAAGTTTTATGCCGTAATCCTTCATCACAAAGGATTTACTTGTACCTGTAATCGCATCATGGTGTTGAAAAAGGCCTAAATTCCTTCTAGCCCTTATAAGTTTTTCAAAATTCTTTTCCAATATTTTTGTATAGGCTGTTAATTTTTGCTCTTTAACATTGTTGAGTGCAATTGTATATAAAATTTCAGCTGATCGCAAGCTGTGCTCTAATTCTCGATCTAATATTTTCAAAAATGGCCTTGTTGTAAAGTATCCAGACCAATAAGCAGGCCGCCCTTCAGAAAATATATCAGCATAAACAAAAAAGTCACCCTTCAATGAAGGATATTGGTCGTACCTTTTTAAAATTTCCTCAAAATACATACTAGGCGTACCAAAAATAACCTCAGCTTTATACAAATCCTTATTAGAATTAATATAATTCAACAACTTCATGTAATTGGTATATTGCTGATCAAATTCCTCTCGCAAATTATACCTAAAATCATCTCCCAAAGGCATCAGGACAACATTATGAGGAAACAACGACCCAGTCCTAGCATATTGTTCCAGCAACAACTCAGCTTTCTCTTTAACATTTTTATCAGTTATCGTTTGGGCTTTCAATGAAGACTCAGTATATTCTCCTTGCACCTTCCTAAAATCGAAATTCAAACAAATGTACGGATGCGGCCCGCAGCTATGCTTAATCGAATAAATATCAAAGGGTTGATTGTGGGTGAGTATAGAGCCGTAAGGGTCGTTTGGGCTCCAGCTGGGTATCCATCGGAAATCGCCGTACTGTTTCAAGGCCAACCATTGCTTCCAAGCGTAGTGGATGCGTTGGATGACGGTACCGCGAAGACCTGCGGCTCCTAGAAGGTAGGGAACTGTACTGCCATGGCCGAAAGGGTCGACTGACCAACCGGTTTTCGGTTTTATGCCTAAGTTGGTCCAGAGCCATTGGTGACCTGAAATAATAGAGGAGAATCATATAAGAATTTTTGTAAACTTGATGAACTTAGGAATTTGAGGTATGACAATGACGGCAGTAGAATGGTGGATCCGAGGGGGAAGTCACCCATAAAATTGTGTACACTGAAATTCCTCTAAATGGAAATTCCTTAAAATTCCGTGCAATTCCTTATAATTCCACACAATTCCCGGTAAATTCCACACAATTCTTTGCAATTCCTTACAATTCCTCGCAATTTCCTCCAATTCTTCGCAATTCTTGGACAAATAATTTTATGTTTGAATAACCTTTTTGCAATTAAATATAGGTATATGTATGTATATGTATATGTTTAAATTATTTAATTATTGTAATTCTGTTGAAAAGTACAATGTATGTCAGGTCGATTATCAATTACTGGGTACTCACATTAAAACAAAATAAATTTTAAACTATAACATCCGATTTTGTAAGCAAATGTTGATCCTTCGACTTCTGTCCAATAAGAATATTCATGTGGTTAACTGTTGCTTCAAACTTGCCCATGGGTAACTTTATTCTGGATTTAATTTTGTTCTTATATCTATATAGTGTTGATAGGGATGGTAGAATATTGTTCATGGTATTGTGTAAGGTTTCATAAAATAGTTTGCCTCCTGAGTAAAACAAATACAACGTAAATTTTTTGAAATTATCGTCATATACAGGGTGTCCACTTATTGCGATATCGGACGATATCTCCTTAGAGGGTGATGCAAGAAAAAAAAAATTAAATTACAAAGTTGTTTGATACTCTAATAGGCATTAGTTAAAAATATTTTTTAATACAGGTGAGCGCGCGGTGGTCCATATCTCCTATACTAACGGAGATCGAAGAAAAAACTGAATACAAAACTTGTAGATAAATATGAGTACTACATTCCTAAATTATTTGCCAGTATTCAGTATACCAATAAACCAATAAGTAGTGGTTACACAAAGCTATGTTTTTTTAAATGGCTCCCCCTGTCTATTATGGCATTTCTGGATTCTGCGGAAAATTCTAGACATATTTCATGTACAATGTCATATATTTATCTTCAACTGTTTCGGAAATATTGACAGTTGAAAATTGACTATTTTGCATCTTTGACAGACTGTAAAACCTGAACGGTTAATTTTACAGCAAAACCGATCATACATTCCTGTCTTAGTTTTTCATAAACTATCATTTGACACCAACTTTGAATTTAATCAATGATTAAAAATTCCGCTTAAATTATTAATCTCCGGTTAAATTCAAAGTTGGTGTCAAATGATAGCTTATGAAAATCTAATCTAGGAATGTAGGTTTTCCTTTAAAATTAACCGTTTAGGTTTAACAGCCTGTCAAAGTTGCAAAAAGTCAATTTTCAATTGTCAATATTTCCGAAACAGTTGAAGATAGGTATATGGCATTGTACATGAAATATGTCTGGAATTTTCCACAAAATCCAGAAATGTCATAGTATACAGGGGGAGTCATTTAAAAAAACATAACTTTGTATCACCACTTCTTGTTGGGCCACCCTGTATACTGGAAAATAATTTAGGAATATAGTACTCATGTTTATCTACAAGTTTTGTATTTAGTTTTTTCTCCGATCTCTGTCAGTATAGGAGATATGGACCACCGCGCGTACACTAACTTACCCTGTATACAGGGTGCTCTGTTTATGGGTTTTGCAACAGAATTTTTTTATTTTAAATGGAACACCCTGTATGTGATTGCATATTTGGATTCTACGCGAAATTCTGAGCAGATTTCATGTAATATAATATCTTTTTACCTAAGTTCAACTGTTTTGGAAATATTGACATTTGAAAATTGACTTTTTGCAATTTTGACAGACTGTAAAACCTAAACGGTTTAGGTTTTACAGCCTGTCAAAGTTGCAAAAAGTCAATATTTCCAAAACAGTTGAACTTAGGTATAGGGTATATTACATGAAATCTGCTCAGAATTTTACGTATAATCCAAATATGCAATGACATATGGACAGGGTGTCTCACGGTGGATGGCGTATTAGACGGTAATGGAAAACTAAAAAGCGGATCATTTTGAAAATTTGTCAACCAGGATAAACGACCATATTCTACACTTTAAAAAATATTTTTGTTTATGCGGTGTTGCCGCTTCTACTCTAAACCAGTGGCACCATCGCCATTTTAAATGGAACACCCTGTATGTGATTGCATATTTGGATTCTACGTAAAATTCTGAGCAGATTTTATGTGATACACCCTATACCTAAGTTCAATTGTTTTGGAAATATCGACAGTTGAAAATTGACTTTTTGCAACTTTGACAGGCTGTAAAACTTGAACGGTTAATTTTAGAGGAAAACCGATTTTACATTGCTGTCTTAGATTTTTATAAACTATCATTTGGCACCAACTTGGAATTTAATCCATGATTAAAAATTCCAATTAAATTTAATCTCCAGTTAAATTCAAAGTTGATGTCAAATGATAGTTTATGAAAATCTAAGATAGGAATGTAAGATCGGTTTTCCTCTAAAATTAACCGTTCAGGTTTTACAGCCTATCAAAGTTGCAAAAAGTCAATTTTCAACTGTCAATATTTCCAAAACAGCGATATTGCCACTGGTTTAGAGTAGAAGCGGCAACACCGCATAAACAAAAATATTTTTAAAGTGTAGATTATGGTCGTTTATCCCGGTTGCCAAATTTTTAAAAATGATCCGATTTTTAGTTTTTCATAAACGTCTAATACGCCATCCACCGTGAGACACCAGGTATAGGGTGTTCCATTTAAAAAACAAAGTTTTGTGGCATACCCCCATAAACGGAGCACCCTATATATTCAAATATATTTTTAACTAATGTATATTAGAGTATCAAAGAACTTTGTAATTTTTTTTTTTGCATCACCCTGTAAGAAGATATCGTCCGATATCGCACTAAGTGAAAACCCTGTATATTCTGTTTATTTTCACTGTTTTTGGTTGCAACATCTATGAGAGTTACTAGGAATGCTTTTCTTGTCATAGTCAAACTCTCGGTTGAACTTGACACGTTAATAAAATGTACATTTTTGACAGTGTGGTTAAGTTTTTGTGTACAACAATTTTTGATGATACCTCAAATTCCTTAAATATACGTTGAAGGGCAACGTAAAAGCAGGTCTGGTCTGGTTTTGAGGTTAGAATTCATGAAAAATGACTAGCGATGCAACGTTGCCAGACTTTGGCAAACTAAGAGAGCAAGGGAACGGGGTATAAGCACTTTGAGATGAATGTATTCCTATAAAAGTATATCCGAGAGTGTATCACTGTATTTTGAGCATAAGCTAAATCTTTAATTACACGATAGATGTATCACTGATGTAGAACTGAACAAGGATTTGAAAATGTCTCTTCATTTTATGAACACACTCTCTGATAAATACTAAAGCAAAGTATTTTTTGGCTCACATAATATAAAGTATATAATCATGGCTTTCAGTATTCTGTCTGGAGCAGTTATAAAATGATACTCAAGTACTTTACCTTTTTATGTTGGACAACGTTTGGCAACACTGAACATTTTTTCTAGGTTCAAAGTGATAACAATTCCACGTAAACCCTTGAAATTCCTCAAAATTCCTCGCAATTTTAAGAAAATCCTCGCAATTCCTAGAAAATCCTCGCAATTCCTAGCAACTCCTCAAACTTCCTTGCAATTCCTTGAAATTCCTCGCAATTCTTACGGCGTGTACACTAAAATTCCTAGGTGATTTCCCCCTCGGGTGGATCCATCGGTGAAATTTGATGAGAATAAAAACGCAGGGTTTTTAATCTGACACTTTCCGTATGAGGAGCGAGGGGGTGAAGCTTATAGCCACATGGCAAAAACAGGTGTTTTCAAAATTTTCCAGAATCTTTAGAAAGTGTTTTTCAGGTTGCACTGATGATGGCCAAGGCCGAAAGCGCTTTGCACTGATATTTATTAAAGAATTTTGCACGAAATACAAAAAAAAAAAATTCATACTTAATTTCCTCAACGTGCACACAGCTCTACACCCTCTATTAAAAACAGGTGTGACGTTAGATGATCTGTGGCGTTTTAATGTAGAGAGCCACCAGCTCACATTTTGTTGGAGTATCCTAAGGAGTATCAGATTAAAATCGACAAACTTTAATTTATCACATTCGCCAGGGTTAGTTTTTCTGCTAATCTTCAAGCAATTTTCTATTTCTTTTTGGTCTTTGAAATTTTTCTGTTCTAGCTCCATCTACTTCAGAATTAGAAAAGTTATCCACTGCATTAGGTTCATCATTTTGAATAATTTTAGAAGAAGTTGAGCTGTTTGAACCATTCAGAAGAGTGGCGTCTCCCCTTGGTGCCCAATGTTTCACTGAAATTGTAGCTTATTTTCCATCATTATAGCGTATTCAGGATTAGTATTTATAAGATCTGCTTCTTCAACTAAAGGATCATATTTGCTTTTCCTGTTTTGTTTTTTAACAAGAACTTTCTGTAGTGTTGACAACCAAGGTGGAATAAATGTGCCACTTGTAGATCTTCTCTGGTATGCAAATAATGTTTCATGAAATGTGCAGTTAATGCTGATACACAAAAGGGAGCGAATCAAATGTAATGCATCTAGGAGAACAATTTCCCACTGTTCAATTGAGTAGTTTCTTGTTTCAAGAGCTGATAATACTGCGTTCTGTGAGCTATTCCTCGGGATAGCAAATATTCACCGAGTTCTTTAGATACTAAAGATGGTCCATTATCTGAATGAATGTAGACAGGTATTCCAAATATTACAAAAACCTGGTCAAAGCATGTTATGACAGTTGTGACATCTGAACAAGGAAAACAAAAGGAAATCTGCTGTATTCATATTCGTTCACAATGGTGAGCATGTATTTATGATTACTTTGAAGGTAGTGGTCCTTTGAAATCAATATTCAGGCGTTCTAATGGTTTTGTAGCTTTAATCAGGTGGCTATTGAAATTTTTGTGAAATTTCATAGCTGTAGCAAGCTAGTTCAAGTTTCCATATCATGATTTTTTCATTTTAAATTTTACTAGAATGTTTAGTATCAAACATAAACGAAACTGCTTGCTGATCTGTCACAAGTTTGAAATATCGTCCCATTAGATAGTGCCTCCATTTTCTTAACGCTTCTACACATGCATATGCTTCTTTTTCTACAGATGGATGCTTTCTTTCTGATTCATATAAGGTCCTTGAGAAAAAAGCTATAGGTTTTCCTGATTGGCTCAGAGTCGCGGCTATACAGAATTCTGATGCATCAGTTTCCACAACTAAAGTTTCATGTTCATTTATTGACCTAAGGAGTGAGTTTGCAATGTTTGTCTTTATCGTTTCAAAATCCAGGATTTGATTTTCTAGTAAAGGAAAATACTTACAGCTAACGAGATTCTGTTTGAAAAATTCTGTATCCATTTAGAATAATGGGAGAACATTCCTAGTATTCTCTGAAGTTCATACTCGTGCTCTTGGGTACCGGTAAGTTCAAAAGTGGCGAAAGTCTGTCCGGATCGGGTTTCATAGATTTTTCTATAGTGTAGCCTAAGATATTGATTGATTTTTGAGCATATGAACATTTATTTTGATTTAGTGTAAGTCCACGTTTTCTGGAGGCTTCTAGAAATTTCTTCAAATTTTGATCATGTTTCTCTTGATTTTCGCCACACACGGTTACATCATCCAAATAAGCATAAACGCTTGTCAATTTTTCTTCTGAAATTATCAAGTCAATTACCCTTTGAAAGCAAGCAACTCCGTTTGTTACACCAAAAGGTATTCTTCGGAACTGATAGAACTTACCAGCAGCTCCGAATGCAGTGTATGGTTTTACTGTTCTTTGATGGGTATTTGATGATAGGCACTTTTCAAATTAATTATGCTTAAAACTCCATATTTCGAAATTTTATTGACTAATGTTCCAATTTTTGGAAGCGGATACGCGTCTAGTAGAGTAAATTTGTTGATGGTCTGTGAATAATCTATACACATACGTCGTGAGTGATTATAACTTGAGCTCACCATGGAGAATTGTTTTCTTCAATAATATTTCCTTTCAAAAGATTCCTGGATTTCCTGCTCTATAAATTGTTCATCCTCAGCTGAGTGTCTGCGTGATTTGGTAATGTTAGGTCTACAATTTGTAGTGAGGTTTGAAAATAAGGATGGCGATTCAACGTTTCAAATTAGATCTGATTTATTATCAGAGCTAGATTTTTGGGATTTTGGAGTATTTCTCTACACATCCAAAGCTTCAAAGCAATTTTACATTTGCAATGAGAGGGATTAGGCTGTAGTTAAAAAAAAAAATCAACAAATCCTAGTCTATGTATACGACAATGAGAACAAAATAGATTTGGACTGTGCGTTAAAAATTCTAATATAGTGAAAGAATTCAGATAGAAACATCTTATGTCATATATATTTTTAAATCGAATTCCGAAGATAGGAAACTACTGACTTTTATCAAATTCCATCGGTCAATGCGCAATTCCACTCGACAAAAATCTAATTTAGCTCCCAACTATGCTGAAACCGACAAAATGCATTGGAATTTATTTCCAGCCTTACGCGATTCGTTTTTATCCAATATACAAATTACCTTCAATAAGTTGATCGACCATAGCAAATAAGTGTACGTTAGCTTCATCAGTCATCACCCATCCTCCAGTGGAAATTTCCAATCGGCCAGAATTCACTAAATCTTTGAGGGCTTTTTGTTTGCTGGGGTGCGCCTCCTCCCACCAGCTGTTCAAAAACGAAATTTCGGTCCAAATGAAGGTGAGATTGTGGTATTCTTGAAGTTTGGCCACCATGTTGCTCATTATTTGTCTGGACGATACGTGAAAGTAGCTTTCGAAGGTTTTCAACCAGCCTGGATCGTTGTGGGAATGGGGAACAATAATAACCTAGAGTGGATAATAATAATTTATATTAGACCTAGTGTGACTATGTTTTAAATTTTTTGACATGTTTGGTAATTCATATTCATAAGTAAATTTACTCTCTGCCAAAAACGTATACATTTGCATCTGTTCAGCATAATAAATTTAGGATCTATATTATTATTTATACCAAAATATGCAATTAGTTTTTGGAAAGTTAAATTATAGACCTTAAGGCCAAGCAAAATTATTTCTTTTGACAAAACTTTTCAAAGAGATTAGCAGCTCGGTGAATTATTAAGCCAAAACTACCCAGGAACAAAACACAAAAGCGTCATAACTTTTGACCGGAAAACATCTGACAATGCAACAAAGTTTTGTATGCGGAAACGAAACAATAGAGCACGAAATTACTATTTTCTTCTATGAAGCTGAAATGAATATTTCAATTGTTGCACTTCGAAGGGTTTACATTAAATTGTTTTCAAGCAAATTACTTACTTTTAGGTGTGGTCTTTCTGGATCCATTTTTTGCCTTTCGTATCGATCCTCGAAAGTTTTGTCCCAATACTCTTTGCTTCTCATCCATGACGGCTGAAAACCCAAAATAATTATTTTAATTTAATAAAACGTTGAAAGAGAATAATAATCGGCTAATGGATTTTTTTTTTGTCGGTGACAAACTTAAAATTCCCAGCAGGGGCTTTATAAAGCGGAACAATGATATTTATGCACGAGCGTTTTGAGTTTGTAGACTTAAATCGCTTCATTTAAGTTTGTTGGTGCGGTTTTGTACGTGACTTTCTTTGTATAGCGTGTAACCCAAATTAATAATCTAGATTTTCGTTTAAAGTCGTCTCTTTTATTCAGCGACAAGATATAATTATTTTAAGTAGGACCTTCTCAAACAAACACTGAAAATATACAATATACAATTTATAAAAATGATAAATCACACAAAGAAACATCTTCTATTAAAAATCGCTTTATTTGTACAAAATATTTAGCAAATGAGGAAAAAAAAAAACAAAACTCACTTTGAAGGATTTTTCAAGAAAACTTTTAAAACAAAATTCTTATAAAATTTTAGTATGTTGTAGCAAAAACCCAAGGTGCAAACTACCTAGGAATTTTTTGCCGAAACTGTGGGAAATTTAGAGGAATTTATCCCAAAACCCACTACATACACCAAAACATGTTCACAGGGCCGGCTCTAGACATTTCAGCGCCACGTATAAAAGGTATTTTTGCCCCTCTTACCGATTACTTTCCTACTTTGTAGTTCCAGTACTACCCTCGGTACTACCATAGGCGCTGGAACCATGTGGGCAATAGGGGCTGCAGTCCCCGTAGTGAACTTACCATGGGGAGTAATTTTGGCATTGTATGTAGTGAGTAGGTACAATAGTTATTTGTTTTACTAGGCAGAAAAGTACCAGCCGAGGCATTAAATCTGCTTTTCTGCCATGTAAAACATATAATTTTTTCTCCGAATGTTCAAATTCACACATGGACATCTTTTTTATATTTATTTCATTCATTATTATTATCCAAATAATTAAATTATTTTGACAATTGTCATTGTCACCATCAATTTCAAATACCAAATTGAGTGAAATTATTACCTGGAACTTTGTGACACTGTCACTTTTAATGTCTAGGCAGTAAAAGTCCACTTTTACTGCCTAGGCAGTAAAAATACAACTTTTGATCCTGTCAAGTGTCATTAAAAGACCGCTTTTACTGTCATTCGGAGAAAAAAATATTGAGTTCCTGATCTTAATATTCCTAACTATTTATTTTAATATCAAATTTGTGTGTTTTATGTTTTTGTTGTTTTTGCTATACCCACTTTGACAAACAGTTTGAACATTTTTTTGCGCAACCTGCTCAATAACGCGACTTTTTGAAGCATGTGAAGCGGGCAGAACGTTGACAATTCCAGCCCGCTGACTGTCACGCATGCGCAGTTCACAGCCGGGCAAACAAGAACATTTCCGCCCGCCTATGCCGGGCGGGAATGCTGTCAATTTGACTTTGACAATTTGACAGGGTGTTGATTTTCAGTTAGTCCCTGTATCTTTTAAATTTTTTTGAATTTAATATAATTTAATTTAATATAAATAATATATATAATATAATAACTTCACACTCGTCGAAATCGTCTCCTTTCCGCCCTTGATACACAATGTACTATTTTGCGCAACTTGCTCAATAACGCGACTTTTTGACGCATGTGAAGCAGGCAAAACGTTGACAATTCCAGCCCGCTGACTGTCACGCATGCGTAATTCGCAGCCGGGCAAACAAGCACATTTCCGCCCGCTTAGCCGGGCGGAAATGCTGTCAATTCGACTTTGGCAGTTTGACAGGGTGTTGATTTTCAGACAATGTTCTATCTTATCAATTTTTTTGAATTTAATATAAATAATATTCATTAAAAAAGTTTCCGAAAGGGTTGCCCAAAAAGTACTGTGTGCACCACGGTCGGAAAGCGATTCCGACCTTGATACACAATGTACTATTTTGTTTAGTATAGTAAAGTAAATTTTAGGGGCCTTAAGAGGGGCGTTTAAATAAAATGACATTCACAAACCTTCACAAATTTCTGTTCAATTCCAAATTTAGACCACTTCTCAGTGAAATGAAGTTATGTTCATAACAATAATAGATTGAAGTATCGTTCGAAGCGTTTTTGGTTGCAAAATACGCATTCTAAATAGTAAAATTATTACCAATTTTGTTGACAACAATATGCAAATTTTGGTCACGGATTTAAATGAAAAAGGGATAAACAGATAGAGTAGTACACCAATAATAAATTTCCAAAATTTCGGAGAGTAAAATGCTGGAAAAAATTAATAGAACATAATTTTCGAAAATTATAATGTTTTTATCACAAAATTAATCAAAATCTGCCAAACAACGAGGTGATTGCTGTCATTTTCAGCAAAGACTCAAACCAAACGTGTGTTCAGCGCTTCTCTAAAAGATGTCGCTGAGTTCGGGAAGGGTAGTCACTTCTTTTAAACGCCAGTAAAAACTGTTTTACCTAGCTAAAATGTGAAATACTATTATTTCATTTGTATCTGAATAAAATTATTTAGTCCACTGTAAATTACTGTGTAAACGAATTGATATTGAAGATGTCGCCATCTACTTGTAAATAAGTCAATCACTTACAGAGAATTTGAACACCTGTGATTAAAAATTAAAAAATATTTAATGTATGTCATAAAGTCCAAAAGATGGCGCGCTGGCTCTTATCTGACGCCCCTCTTAAGAGGGGACATACATTAAATATTTTTTAATCACAGGTGTTCAAATTCTCTGTAAGTGATTGACTTATTTACAAATAGATGGCAACATCTTCGATATCAATTCGTTTACACAGTAATTTACAGTGGACTAAATAATTTTATTCATATACAAATAAAATAATAGTATTTCACATGTTTAGCAAGGTGAAACAGTTTTTACTGGCGTTTAAAAGAAGTTAATATCCTTCCCGAACTCAGCGACATCTTTTAGAGAAGCGCTGAACATACGTTTGGTCTGAGTCTCTGCTGTAAATGACAGCAATAAGCTCCTTGTTAGTCCTTATTTGGCAGATTTTGATTAATTTTGTTATAGACACATTATAATTTTCGTAAATTCTGTTCTTCTCATTTATTCCAGCATTTTACTATCCGTATACTATATGTTTATCCCTTTTTCATTTAAATCCGTGACCAAAATTTGCATATTGTTGTCAACAAAATGGTAATAATTTTACTATTTAGAATGCGTATTTTGCAACCAAAAATGCTTGAACTTCTACTCCAATCTATTATTGTTATGAACATAGCTTCATTTCACTGAAAAGTGGTCAAAATTTGGAATTGAACAGGAATTAGTGAAGGTCTGTAAATGACATTTTATTTAAACGGCCCTCTTAATACAAAAAGCTTAAATGACAAATACCCCATTACCCAACATAACGGATCTCTTGAAGAAGCTGGGACACTGTCAGTATTTCACCACCTTATATTTAGCTAGGGGCTTCCATCAGATCCAGATGCATGAAAACGACATCGAAAAAACCGTATTCAGCACAGAAAACGGGCATTATGAGTTCTTGTGCATGCATTTTGGTTTGAAGAACGCGCCGGCTACATTCCAAAGAGTTATGGATAATATTCTATATCCCAATATATTGACAAACTTTATCACCGAAAGATGGAACATCCCATCAATAACAATTATTCATATTCACAAGGGAAAAAAAGTATTAGATTTGGAGCGAGATGTGGTTTGCCTCCTATCGCGAAGCGGAGGGAGACAACAACAAAGTGGCCAAAGAGCGTTGGGAATGCTGGAGGTGGAACAGGGGAAATCGTTAAATTTCGTTCTCTATTCAACCTTAGAGTTTTTCTAGGCATTTTATTCTATTACATTAAAATTGGCCTGTGTTGACCTGTCAAACTTGTATACTATAGGTAGTTCATTTTTTGGCCATGCCATTAGCTTAATTATAAGTTTGTTTCGTGCCATAAGTTGAGTTTTTTTCAATTTGTTTTGAATGAATGCGAGGCATCATAGCGAGGGAGTGTGTTGATTTCAGTCCATATTATTAACGTTCTACTGTGAATTTTCATCAAAATTTGTTGAAATAGCCGCATTGCCGCTTGCCCTCATCATTAGAATTCCCAAAAATACCGTGAAAAGACCCAAAAATTTCTCAGCTGCGGCGCTTTTCGTCCTGCAGCGCTTGCGGCGAAGTTGCCACTGCTGTAAAGATCCCTTCCTCAAATTTGCTCCTGCCCCCCCCCCCAAGACTAAATCCTGACTACGCCAATGGTGCTGTCGAAGCCGAGTATAGCCGAGCTGCCGAAGATGTACGAATTTCAATAAGGAATATGAAGGAACCTGCGGGGACGATCAATGATCCAACGTACCGATCCTGCAGTGAAATGAGTCTGTCAACTGGTCCCATTTAAATCTATGTGTCTAGTAGCTTAGTCCTGTCTGTCTAATTATTTCTACTTATGTTAATTTTTGAAGCCCAAGCCCCCATAGTAATTTTGAAATTCCGGCGCCTATGGGTAATATCTATTTGTTAAACTTACTTTTGATTTTAATTTTGTCCACTGTCCTTATATGATATATATTATATTTTTATTATGTTTAAGTTTTTTATGGAATAACCCCCTCTTTTTCCCACGCCAAATTACCAGTTTTGACGAAAGCAACATGTTGTTTCTCGCTTTGACGTAGGCTGTTTAAACAACTGACAACTTAGTTATGACGTCGGAAATGGTAACACACCAATATGGCGACAATTGCCAAAAACGAGGCTGATAAGCAATCCTTGTAGGTGTGTATCATCCTTGACAATTGGCGGCAGCTCTCAAATAACACCAAAACATTACCTGCAAATCACTTTCGGACACGTGAAACTAGGCTAGCGATAGGTATTTTCAAGTTCTCGTTTTTCGAACTGTTCGCGAACCATTTCGGAACTGGGCAGAGGCGGATTTAGGATATTTGGCGCTAAAAGCAGAAAATTTTTTGGCGCCCTTCGTCCTTGCCAAGGAAGATGGTCAAAATCGCAG